AGGAAGGAAAGAGACAGGGCAGGAAGGCAGGAAGGCAGGAAGGCAGGAAGGAAGGAAGGAAGGAAGGAAGGAAGGAAGGAAGGAAGGAAGGAAGTATATATAGACACAGTTCCACGCCAAACAGCAACTGGTGTCTGGAGGACATAGAAAACTCTTTTTACGGGAGATCTCATCAGGGCTCTCAACTCACAATTCACTTGCCTAGCTGCACCTGCACAACAGAAAAATAGGACCTTCTTCATTATTCTTGGAGAAAGTAAAAAGGACCAGGACACAGCTAATAAATACAACAGGTTTAATCATAAACCATGTACAGATTTATAGATAGGGAGGGGAAATGTGGTCTGAAAGGTGCTGCCCTGGCAACAGGAATAAAAGAACACTGTATTTTACCAGTCAATATACAGCACTAATGAAGAGTGAAGCTGATAAATGAATATGGGATTTTGAGTCCCAGAGGTTAAGTTTGTAAAACTTTACAGACAACCATCATTCTAGATTTCCTGTCAAATTATAGCACGAACTAGCTCACAGCTCTGTCCAGGACACAGCAAGGCAGATACAGCCAAGAACAGAATTTGAGAGTGAGTCAGGGGACAAGATATCTGAAGATAATTCTGAGGTATGTATAACTCTACTGTTGCGTACAGTCTTGGGGCCATGCTTTTCCCACAGTTATGTCTGCACACATCTCATTCCAGTCAGTGAGAGTAGCAAGCTCACATCTGAGAGAATATATTGGGCTTTGAGGACATAAAGGAGCACATAAAACAACAAAGCCAGAGCAGAACAAGGAGAGAGCTAAAGACAAGGAAGCCTAGACTGGGCTGATAAAGGGAAGAAGTAAATGGATGGCCCCAGATTTATCTGGCCAGCCAGTTCAGCCCTGTTTGGACAGTCAGCGCAAAACTTCTCTTCTGAAGGACTTCTGCAGTGCACAGGTTTCTATCAAGGCAACCTTTTATCAGACAACAGAGAAAACCACGAATGAAATGCCTAGAGGCATGTTAACAGAAGAAATATGATGGAGCTGGCCCTACCACTGTTCAGTTCTTAATTTTGAAGGAAAACCCAATCCTGCCTCTGAAGTGGTCTAAGGCTACATATGAATCTGGTCAGTCTCAGCTGATACAGGCAGAGGAAGGAACCATTGCTCTGGTGGCTAGCAAGGCAAAGAGTTACATTTGTATTATGGTATTCAGAGTCAGTGTTGCTGCTTTGAGAAACAATCACACCAGACTTTCAAAGCAGTCCAATGTATTGGCTTTTTGCAGAACAATTTCACTTTCAATCAATGTATGTATTATATAGTTTTACAGATGAAAAACAACTTCCACTGCTAGCAAGACACTGTTTTGATGTCAAATGCACTTGCCATCTGATTTTGCTAAGAACCCACCCCAGACAATAAAAAAAAAAATTAAAAAAAATCCCAAATAAAATCTATAATACAGAACAACATTCATGTCCATGTCAAATGGTAATTGTCCCAACAAACATAAAATAAAGACCATCTTAACGCAGGTCCCCTCAGAAGCAAGTTAGAGTCATGTGTTCTTATCTAGAGTCTACTCCCAATCTGGGAAACCTCAGTTAAGACTGCTTCCCTTTGAAATGCAAGTCCCAGTTTTTTAAAGGAGTGCTCCACACATGCATGCACACATATGTACAGACACACACACACACACACACACTCCTCTCTTTTAGCAAGAGCTGCATGCTGGGTGGCTTTTAATGCCTTCTGTGCATTTTTGACGTACTTTCATTGTAAGGATGAGGTTGAAAAGTCTTCTCAGGTCTGTATTCTTTAAACAAAAAAGGGAATGAAGGGGAACTACAGTACAAAGGCAGAGAAATGCACTCATATCTCAGACATATGATTTTTCCTGGTTGTTTACAAGGATGATGTTATTTACATTTGTGACTCAGCATAATCCACAGGAAGAGTTATTCTTTCTCCATGCTGGGTTTTCTCAATGAACCCATGAGCCCATTCTGTGCCACCACAGACCATTTTTCTTTAAGGCACTGCATGTGGATGACGACTTCAGACAGAAGTGCAAGCTGCCTTCACTGGATCGTGCATTTCTCTCTTTCCCTGGACTGACCTTCTCTGAGAACTTTCGATTTGATATACTTCAGGTCACTGTTGACGCTTGGCCGGCGAGCAAAGGGAGAGATCATGCCATAGGCATCCATGTCCTTGACTCGGCGCATCTGGAAGGATTTCTGTTGGAAAGGGTCACCATACTGGATGGAGATTTTCCTGTGGAGGGAAGGGCTCATCTCATGAGGTAGCTTGGCCATGCTGAAGAGTACATAGAACATCTCATCCACATTGGTATTCTTCTTGGCTGAAACTTCAAAGTAAGCACAGTTTTCATCACTGGAGACAAGGTTCTCACCTTCATCTGAGCGTACCTTGCGGAAGATTTCACTGTGGTCATTTTTATTTCCGCAGATCACCATGGGGAGGTCAGCTGATTCCTTGGTCTTGTTCTTCAGGCAGGATTTGACCTCAAGGATCTGTTTCTGGAGCCTCTTGACCTCATCAAAGGATTCCCTGTTGTCCAGGCTGAATACCAGGATGAAAACATCTCCTGCAGTTAAAAAACGATACTGTAAATGCTTGTTGATCACAGCCTGTGTCAGAGGAGCTATTTTTAAAAAGGCAATAGGTTTATCTGCCATCTCCTCCCCATATTTTTTTTTTTGGTCCTTTTGATTCTATTAACTCAACTGTACTTTAAGTCAAGTTCTTCTAATTCAACTCCCCACACCTTTCTGTAGTGCTAGGTAAAAGACTTTTGGCTATGATGTCATCTGATTATGTTCCTAGGTTGCACTGGACTTGCAAGTTACTGCCCATTTTACTCTCTTTTGTAAACAAGTTTATCTCAGCTCTGCTGCGTTGCTTTTATTTTATTATTATTCCTTTCATTTGTATCTCTGTGTAAAACACAGCCTGTTCTGACACCAGAAGAGTGGAGAGCTAGTAGCCACTCAGCCTTGGCCTTTTGATTACACAATACATGAAGCAACACCTGAACTGAAGATTTACATCTAGTCAGTCCTGAACACCTAAGTCACGAATGTGAGGTTTCCCAATGCACAGTGCTCTGCTATCATTTCATTTGCTCAAGAGAAACAGACCATGGAAAAAAGAAATACATAAATGACACAAATCTCCTGACATTTCCGTTTGACATTTCCTGACTTACAATTCCTTTTGCAAATATAAAAGAACGCAAATCATTGCCTGTTGAATGACATTTGTGTGGAATGTGCTAAGAGAGCTTTCAGGGACAAAAGTTCACATCTGCATCCCAGAAACTGAATGTGAATGCTAGCTTGGTCAGATGTGAACATCATGTTTCACTGGTTAGATAGAAGGGTAGATAGCAAATCCAGAGAGTAGCTTTGTTGTTAGCTGTGGCTGAATATATCTCCACTGTCACTTTCACAATTAAAGAATACATCTTAGTTCACAACAAGAACTGCTTGACAATGAGATTATACAAAATGAGCCCACCATTTTCCCTTTTTTCCCTTTAATGCATTTGATTAACCATAGACTAAGGAGAAAGGGAAAAAGCAGTGCTATCCTTTTACTGGAATATCAAATCAAGGGAATAAGGCTGGAAATTTTAGGATTAAAAAAAAATCCCGAGATTTTTTTTTGTTAGAATTCCCCTCCTGTGCATTTTACATTTGGTTTTCACTGCTTGTATCTTATGATGACATGCTTATTTTGTCCCTTGCTGCTCTTTATGCCGACAAGATTTTATTCAGCCATTTGTCTGTGATTGCAATAAAAATATGGAGCAGGAGGGGAAGGTGGGAGGGAAATAAAATAGGGGGAACTCACAATTTCAGATCTTCACCCAGTGGACTTCTCTTCTGTGGCTAATACACTCCCTATAGTGCCTGGAACATCCTGGCCAGGAAATCTCTCTCTAGAGAAGTGCATCTTGCAGCAAAATAAAGCAGTCCCTTTAGCTACCTGTCATGAAACAGTCATCTGTCTACAGTTTTCAAGCTAGTATCTATCCTTATGATCTTTCACCCACCATTCCCCATCTGCAAACTTGCCCCCACTTTCTCACCTGTCAGGATGGAAAGCCTCCTCATAGCAGGGAAAGGGTGATTCCCAGAGGTGTCCAGGATGTCCAGCTGATACAGATCTCCCCGAATGTTGTAGACTTTGCGATGAAAATCCTCAATGGTGGGAGTGTACTGGTCCTCAAACCGGCCATTGAGAAAGCGTGAGACAATGGAGCTTTTCCCCACTCTGGCAGCTCCCAGCACTACCATGCGGTACGAGTTCTTGGCTGGCACATTCAGGGTGCAGTTTCCACCAGACATGGTCTTCATCATTGCTTAGTCCTGAAAGAGTTGGAGTAGTAGAGTTGGAGGAAAGACTAGAAACTAAATGGAAGATGGAGCAGGGCAGGTCCTTACCACAAGCTTGTCTAAGAGTACTCTGGAGCACAGTCCTCGTTAGTAGATCAATGGTCTATACAGAAATCTTGTCACTGGAAATGCTTAATCTTTTCAGTCTCATTTCTAGGGAGTGATTTGTTGGGGGTTTGGGGACATTTTTTTGGTCATGTTTTTTCTTTTATTTTAAAGTCACATAAAAATGAAGATGTTTACACTGAAAATAGCATGGTTTTGAATTGTAAATTGCTATTTCATTTAAACAGTAAGGACTAATTCAGCTTAGACACCAGGTTCCTTCTCACCATCTGTGTCACTTAGACATTACCAGATTTTTCAGCAGAGCTTGGTTCTCCTTTAGGTACATAAACACAGAGGTAAGACTTCCCGATATACTGAATCCACTACAGCTGCCATTAGGACCTAGAAAGTTTCATTTAGTTGCCTAAATAGGAGCTGTGCATAATACTTCTTTTCTGAGATCAAACAAAAGTCAGACAAAAACAAGAATCATGCTTAACATCAGTGGAAGTTAGATATTTCTGTCACATTAAATCATTGGTCCCATACAACCTTCATTGCTCTTGCAGGGAGTTTGAGCCACAGAATAGCACTGTCTGATAATAAATCCAAAGATCTGTGCCTCCAATGACCTTTTAGAAAACAGACTTTAATCCTGCTGCTTCGACTGGTAGTGTGAGAAATCCCTATCAACAAACTATCAGCATTGCAGCAGGTGGCTGGCAATGGATAGAACTGCAGAAACAGATTTCATAGGAGTTTCAGTCTTTATACATACACAGCTGTTGTGGATGTCACAGGCTTTGTGGGTGCTAAGTACAAGCAGGAAAAAAGATGAAGGACAGCCATCTTAAATACCTAATAGATGACATTTCCAACCCCTGGCAACTAAAATGAGTCTCGAGACCTCGGAGATCGCATTTTGACATAGCACTCAGATGCAGAAAACTTTGATAGGAAAAAAAAAGGGCGTTGCTCAGACATTTTTCATGAGGCAGTTCAAATTAACTGTGTGCTGAAAGGAAAAATATAACCCCTATGTGGGGGTTAGCTAACTGTTAGAGCAAAGAAGGCACATTTTTGATAGTATTTTGTTAGTAGGATCTTATTAAAGAATAATCAAGTTCCCACTGTACTGTTTATTTAACCTAGGTGTTGTTTATTTAATATTACAACACAAGTACTTTATGTACACTGAGAGATCATTTTTTGGTCCAGATCTGGATTCCTATCTTTCCCTTGAGTGAATTTTATCTCCCAGGCTTTTATGTAGCTCACGCTTATCTCAGTCAAAAACTTAAAATCTTTTACTTTAACATGTGCTAAGCACCAAAGCAGCAGTGAAGATACAGTCACTGCTAAAGAATTCTCTGGAATTCTTATCCACCATCACTACAGGTGCTGTGCTATAGCCCAAGGCAACAGCAAAACACACTACTAGTTATTATTGCTATAATTTGCTGCACGCCAACATCACATTCAGCCCTAGCTAAAGCACAGAAGAAAATGCAATGCTTTCCTCAGAGTAGCTTATGCTCTGAATTACATTCAGCAGGCAGAACAGCATAATATTAGAGCCAGACAGTAATGTCAGAACATAACTTTGGATGGACACACATATGCAGAGTTATGGTGCTATTGGGATTGCTGTGGCAGGAATGACAGCAAGAAGCACACATGGTATTTGAATTGGATTCTGTGTTTTTAGAATAGGGCCTATCTCCAAGAGTGCAGAAACACTATTTTCAGTCCCTGAAACAACACTGCCATGTACGCTGTCTCTGCCCTTTCCTATGTAGCCAGTCCACTACTGTCCTGCATCCATGGGCAGACAAATGGTAACTGAGCTGCATTGGGATGCTCCTTTCACCCTCCTAAGGCTTTATCTAGCTGGCAGAGAAAAGCAAGGAGATATATTTTGTGAAAAAAACTATAAACTTCTCTACAGCCCAGGATCAGTGTCTAGAAATGAGTCAGCTCTTCAGACTGGCACAGACCAGTGTAGCTGCATGAGGGCAAGTGGACCATGTTGATTCACACCTGCTGAAGATCAGTTGTGTACAACTTGGTGCAGCAGCAGCTGGGAGTGAGCACAGCTCCACTTTTTAAGCAAATGCCTTATATGTCCTGTACAGAACATGCACGCAGAGGGACCTGATCCTGGCCAGCAGCTTTATCAACCCAAATCTGATAAATTATATACTGCCGACTGACAGGTAACCACTGAGCTGCTGGTGATTAGAGAAACTCCCATCACACAACAAAGGAGGTGGACTATGTCACTGCAGCTTCTTGGAGGTTTCATTTTGAACCTTTAGTGCAAGAGGCACTTCTGTCCTCCGCTTTGAAATTAATTCCACTGCTTTGGACCCCAGTTAATGCCACTGTACCCTGAACAACTTGGAGGATTTGCCACAACAACTACCCACAGATGGGGAAGATTCAAGCACAAGGAAACTGAGTGACCACTCAAGGTCCAATAAATGAGAAATGTGGACAGACTCTGGGACTCCTACCTTTCAAACTCGTTCTCCTTCCCACCTTTCCTCACCCTTGCATCTCTGGTCATTAAATCACACTACTTCACATCCCCATCAAAGGCCAAATCCTATGTGCAGACATGTGCTTATTTCAGGACACTTTGCCCCAAGAATGTAGATGCACTGAAGGGGAAGAAGGGATGTGAGGACATGTAGATTCTAATGTAAATAGTCACTTTATGCTGCCCTTGTTCCACATGTCAAGGCATTCAGTCGAGAGGACTCTTGTGTTTATTTCCTGACTACATATAATTTCACACGAAGTCTAAAGATGCTTTTCAGCACTTCGATTTATAGAGTTACTATTCATCACCTCTGCTGCAAATCTGACTCAGGGTGTACCATTGAACTGGGAAGTTATATTTGTGTTTTGTGCTCTCTCTTCTTATGCCCCTCCTCCAGTTTTTCTCCAGTTCAATACAATCTGCCTTCTTTCCTCAGAAAAGGAATGAAACTTCAGCCTTCACACCCAGGGGTGGGGGGAAGCATGGGGACTCATACACTGAAAACAATTAAAGGCAGAAGAAAGGAAACAGAAAGATACCACATGTTCATGTACTAAGTAAAGCAAAATCAATCAGAAGAGAATGAGAAGACAAACAACCTCCAGCTGGCTTTAATCTACATCTTTTCCTTTCAGTTTGTTAAATGCTTAAGCATAGATTAATTTCCAGTGGTACCTTCTGCTTTATGCACTGGCTTGATACTAAAAACTTTATATATTTTATACAGCACAGGGATTTAAAAATGTCATACAAATATAGGCAATGAGTGTTATCTCCATGTAATAAAGGGAAAGCTCCTACGCCCAGAGAGAGCTGAAACAGCTGTCCAAAATCGACATTAAACCCAATTTCTTTTGATTCCCTGTGTCATCTTCTACCTGCTAACCACTACTGCTTGTTTCAAAGGCAGACATTGAATTGAAGGACAATGAACCTGCTTTTGTATGCTCTGAAGAGCCGTTGTCTGAATTCCAGTGAGGTGCTGACAAATTTGATCCTGAGCACCCTGAGAGAGGTATCTAAGGAAGACATTCTTCATTCAACCTGCCTAGAGTTTTTGTACCTTAGTTTTCCTCCCATCAGGGGGTATGCTGCCTACTACTCCCTATCCATGAACAATCTCCTAAACTCTCTCTCTTTGCAATCCATGCTCTTCAGTTACAGTTTGCGTCACTGTTTGCCATCCCATTGTAAATCACTACACCCAGCTAAAAAAGACATAGGCAGACACAAAGTGTATCGTGCATAACAGACCTGTCATTTGTTAATCACTACTAGTATCCCCGTAATTTTCATGCACACCAAAATCACTCCTGTGGGATATTTGTTTCCTACTTTCATCCCAAACTCCATGCTGCTTTCTTACCTCTCTTTCCTTGGAGGAGCAATCTTGCGTCTTGGTGCAGTCTGGTGAAGCTGATAAATTTAATCAGAAGTGGCTGCTGCTGTAAAAGGCTGTTGTTCTGTGGATCCCACGTTGTTTTCTCTGGGCTCAGTACTTCGCCACTATTTCCCAGGAATTTAGCAGGATTGGGAAGGACCATAGGGCTCCAGAGGATGTTCCCCCATGAATGGTAAGTACTGGATCAGGCCACTGACGTGGGCTAAAGAAGGGTATTAGAACCAGTAATAGCTTTTCCCTTTGGTGAGATAAGCTCTTCTCCTCATAGACTCAGTTTGAGAGAAGCATAGGCAGGGTCTTTCCCACTCCCACTGGCTTTTCTTGCAAGTTGTGCTTCGTAGGCTCCGCAGTGGGGGAAAGGGCCTCTGGAGCGACACCTAGTCGTACAGGGTCGTGGGTGCACACGGCTGGGCCACCCTGCCCCTGTGCTGCCTCTATGCCGCCTCAGGCGCTATGGGGAAAAATCAGCGGTGGCATGGAAGTTGTCTATGGTGAAACTATGCTTCCACAGGTCTTGCCTGGCGCTGCCTCCCTCACGAGCTTCTTTTTTTTTTTTTTTTTTTTTTTTTTTTACATTTGCTGATTAAGCCTTTCTCCTTCCCTCCCTGGCTTTCTCCCTCTCTCTCTCACAACTACTGGCAAATTGCAGATTTTCCTTCTGTAAGACACACGGATAATTGGCTCAACTCCTCCCTTAAAGTCAGACACTGGGGAGAGAGGGGTGCTGAGGGGGTGGGATTTTGTGCCTATTGAAAAAATCTTTTCTCCTCTAAACAGAAAGTTCATATGCATTGCAGACTGCACATTCCCTATCTTTCCACCAGAGACCTCTATGCGTGCATGTGTGGGGAATGAGTTAGCGTGTGTGCGTACAAGAGACAAAGAGCCTTCACTTGCTTTGCAAGCTGTAAATTCATAAGCTGTTTCTAAAGGCTCTATACTTCAGCGCTGATCTTTTCTGCTCTGCAGAAGTGGACCGACTCATTTCCCAAGCAGGGGCTTTCTGTCCGCAATTCCTGTAATTATTCTGCCATATGGAATACTTTCTGCTGTTCCCTCAAGACTCCAAGATACTATGTTAGGATTGTTAGTTGATTTGCTTAAGAAAGAAGAATAATGTGTAACTGCTGTCCTTTTATTAACATTTAAATAAATTAAAAACTAAACTATGACTGGGTAATAAAAATGTAAAGAAGAGGTCAAGCAAACTGAAAGTGTCAGGGACTGAGGGTCAGAAAAAGAAGAGAAACAAAGAAAAATTAGGGTGAATTCAAGGAGTTTGTTCAACCTGAAGTGAAAAATCGTGTTTGCAGTTGATTTCAACTGTTTACTGACTCTATTTTTTTCTCCTTTTTGAGCTGAAGTAATAGTTTAGACCTACAAGTCTATTTTAAAATATGTAAAAACATTGATTTTGAAAGATTTGAAATTAAGTATTTCAGTATTTTCCACTTAAAACTCCTAATCAGAGGGGGGAGGAAGAAAAACACTGACATTTTTCAAGATATTTTGACAGCAAGACAATGGAAGGGAGGCATGGTCTCCCAAATTCAGATATAGTTTCAGGTCTCCCACAGTTCTCTCTCTTTTTCTTTGAGAAAATTTACCTTTTGTTGAATTCAAAGATTCCTCCAACTGCCTTGTCTGTTTCATCTTCAGACCCCCCCCAACAATTCCTGCTGCTTTTGAGGAATTCCTGTGACGCTTTGCTTTTCTCCTCCCTCTCCTCAGACCACAAGAATGTTTCTGTTGTCACCCTCAATATAATGCTTCCCTCCTTTGCCCGTGCTCCTGGCACTGCACAGCAGCCATCGATAGCTGCTGAGGAGGGTGCCCTGGCTGTTGCTGACATGTGGTCTGACACACCCGTACATCTCTTTGTGCCAATGGACTTTGAAGGCCACAACACAGGCCATGAGTTGCATCCTGCTGTAACCATGTGTGAAAGGCAGCAGCTCCCACTAAGGTCAGGCCTGAGCAGGAGGTAGATTTGGGGCCCCCAAGCTAACACAAAGGCAAAACACCATTGATTAAATTGTGAAGCAGCAGCTCCTGGCTTCCTCCTAATGCAGACACCTTTAAATTTGAGAAGGAAGAGCATGGCTTGGCACAGCACTGTTAAAACACCACTGGCTTCTGGTAATGGGTCATGACCTGAACTCAGCTCTTCAGACCACAATACCAGGACTCCTTTGTTAATTCCTGAGTGTTTTCTCTGGCAAAAAGTAGAGGAGTATTTTTGTGGCTCAGGCAAATTTTTAAAATAAGATATGATGCTTTCCATTCCTATGTCATTGGTTCAGATCAAACTTGGGCAAAAAGCTGCCATTTTTGGTGTCTGGTCAATGATTTGTGTAGCTTAGATCCAGAGTGACCAGAATCCTTGTGTAATTGGAATTGGAAGGAATCATTGGAATCCTTGTGTCATTGGAGGAATTGGGAGGAATTGCTGCAAAAATCAACAAAGTCAAGACTTGTAGTGCTACAGAGAATAAACTCCCCTTTCATCCCTATAGCTCACGTGTCGAGTGTACGGGTTGTCTGCCAAAAAAAAGCTAAGTATAGTCATTATGGAGACCATTATCAGCCTGGAATCAGCCTACTCAAGCAAGCTTTTTTGTAAACCAAACGCAAAGCTCTTGCCTAGGTGGCTTCTCAACCAGCCCAAACTCCCACTCAGCTGTCTTCTCCAGCATTTAAAGTAGCCAGTTGAGTTCCTCAAATCATATAAAAATAAAATAAGAACATACTTGACTAGGCACCTTGGCTTTAACAAACAGCTAGTAAATTACTTCTGAAGTAAGTCTGGAAAGATAATTGCTAACTATGAGCCTTCAGAGGCTCAAGAGAACTTGCTGTAGCTTCTTGGGTTGTTTTTGTGTTGTTTTTTGTTGTTTGTTTTTGTTTTTTTTTTTTCCCTTAATTTTTTTTCTGGTGTGCTCCCAGTTAAGGAGTTGACAAAAAAAGCTAGGCTTTTATGCCTTCCCTCAGGGCTCAGGAGACCAAAGCTCAAAAAATCCCTACTTTTCCAAAGACATCCTGAGCGGTTCTGATAGAGAAGACAGTTACATCTGCCCCCACCTGAGAAGTAGGGATAGTAACATCTCTTTGCTTTTAGGGTTATAAAGGGAATAAGTGGATCAGAAAGACAAAGCCACTGCCAAAATGAAAAAAAGTTCATAGTCTCAGCAGTTTCCTCTGGTTAGTCAGAGATCATCAGCCTTTCTTAGAGCTCACAGATATTTACCAATTTAAAAGCTAGGCTTGCGATGAATTACCCTCTGGAGGCATTTCTCCCTCTTACTCCTCCAGTCTATAAAGAAAGCCTAAATGAGGTTTTTATCTGGCAAAGGCTGTCTCAGAGGATGACAGGCTTTTGCTGAAGGGAACCACCACTGCTATGAAGGGTTGTGCCTGCTTCAGTGGGTGACACTGGCCATGGCTTGTGGTGTAGTCCTTGAGTCTGGGTGTCCATTGTGAAAGACAAGGGAAACAGAATGCATGATGGATGAGCTATATCAACTGAACAACATGGTTTATATAGGACTAACTGAAAGCAAATGACCTTGTTGATGCAGCAGCTCATTAGCACAGATAACTGTTGTCTCTGAAGCTGGCGTGTAGGTCCTGCCAGCTCATCAGTGGGACTGCCTCAGCTGTGGAAGGTCCTGCAGATGGTGCAGCTGTGGCCAGTAAATAGGACAGCTGTGCTTATTGTGTTTCTGTCTAGACCATCAGTGAACAGAGATGGAGGACCTGAGAGGGCAAGTCAAGGGAAAAGGAAGAGAAATGTTGCAGGGAGAATCTGGGTAAAAAGATACACAGAAGAATGGGGAGAGACAAGCAGAAAATACTGCTGTTGTGTCTTGCGCTAACCACCCGGCTCCAAATAGTGATGAAGACCTAAATTGAAATGACTTTCTCTATGGTGGGACACACAAGAGGGCAGCTTCTTCTCAGAGCAGCTTCCTTCTCTCTGAAGAAAGGTGCAGATCCCAGGCAGCACACATGCTGACTACCCCTGCACCAGCATCTGGGTCAGTGTGGGCTCGTGGGGCAGAGTTATTACTGTCATGAGTAATTTATACCTTCTGCAGCTCCAGGTGCCAGTCAATGCTGGAGACAGAGACTGTTGTGATGGGCTGATGCACCAGGGCCAATCTGTTTCTCTCCACCTTAAGGCAAATGACAGAAGTGACAATTGCATGTGCTCAGCTCTGGTCAGAATTAGTTCAAGACAAAAGATGTTCCAAGGCTTTTGTCTCCCCTTCAAAAGCAAATGCAACAGAGATTAAATATTTAAACCAGCTTTTCTCTCTCTTTCCTTATTAATTTTCACTGCCCTCATTATTCAGTAAAGCAAGCTCATTTTTCCACCCCCTCACCTTCCTTCCCTTCATTTCTCTTGCTTGGTGCCCCTCCCTTCAAGTAATGCTGAAAAGTTAGTGTTTGGGAGTCAGTAAACTGCAGGTACCAAGTCATAGTCTGAACAGCAAGTAGATGAGCAGACACAAGTATTACTGCCCCTGAGTTACTTGTACCCCCTGGGGCAGGTGGGTACTCAGTGAAGGGCTTTCCAGGGGTGTTAAAATGACCGGGAAAATAAATAATGATCATCAGTTACAAGTCAAAACAGTAATACTGGGGAGAACACAGCTGGAGAAGGCATGCATTTGAGAAAGTGGCAGTCTGACTTATATTCCTGGTCCTGTCAACAGGATTTGTGTATGACTATTAATTTCTCAGTGTCTCAGGGTGTAAAATGGGTTAATATTTACTGAGATCCCTGCAAAATGGAAAAGCATTGCTTTGCTGTGCAAAGCATCCAAGTCACCTCTTATTTCCCTCATTTGCTTGGAATAATTTTTAAAATTACATTTTAATGAAATATTTTTGAGAAAAGACTGCATTTCTAATCCTCCTCCTTTCCTTTTGCCACTGACACAGCATGTCCAGATTTCCTCACTCAACATGCATGCACGCTTTCATTTTCATTCCACTGTTGAAACTTTTAAAAGCTTTCTGTGTCTTTGAAAAATTACTAAGAAACAAGATTAAAGCTTAACACACACTCCTACCCCCCATTATTTAAAAAAGCTTCAGGGTAGAACATGGAGGGGAGAAAACCCCAAAGTGTACAAATAATGTCTTTACCCTGAATGAATACCAAGGAAAGTTGGTTTATAGTCTCCCAAGTCCTGATGGAAGAAAAGAGACCCCCACCACATCCATCCACATAGCCTATGATCTTACCTGACAGTGATGCTGGAGTGCTGTGTCAGCCTTTCAGGAAGGAGTGGGCGCAGGTACACATCATGACTTTCAGTCTCTGTTCAGCATCTCATTCCCTAGCTGCTCCCGGGTCATGTGTTCAGATAGATAACTGCATGCCTGGGAGGGAGCAAGTGCATGGCTCTCCTGCTGAAAGACGCTGAGAAGGAGGAGTTCATTCAAAAGGTCCCCCCAAATTCTCCTCTGTGTGACACCATTCCAGCACTTCTAAAACACAGAGAGGGAATGATCTATTTTGGGCCATGTC